TTTCTCCAGATGACCCTGGTGGGGCAGCGACTCTCACTTGTTGCCTGACTTCCCGTGGTGATGACAGAGGGGGGCCCTCACCTGCCTCTGTCTTGGCCGGGGAAGCACAGCTGAAAATGAAGGCACGAGCCTTGGCCGCAAGCACAGCCGGGGCCTGGGGCGAAGACGGTTGCAGAGATGGTTTTACCTGGGCGTGGGGTCACGCGTGTGCGTAATTGGGGAACAGCGAAAGAACATGGCTGAAGCAAGTTTTGGAGATGGCAGCAGAGGGGGTACCTCTAGGTGACCAGCTTGGTTTCAGGGAATACTGGACTTTGACCTCTTATTCAAGAAACCAAACTTCACTGCAGAAATATCTGCCGCTTTCTGTCCAGCCTTGCCTGTTTCCACAAACTGTCCAAGAGAGAGTTTGGCTCACTGCCGAGGGTGAGAGGGAAACAGCGGAAAACTAGTGTCATCTGTGCATTGTGGCACCTGCCATTCTGCTCAGGATGATTCCGAAAGCCCTCCTAAACACAGCTTTAAGAAGAAAAATTAAAAAGTACAAAAAACCCCCACTGAGTCTAGCTGTTTCAAATAACCATGCTCCTGCAGGGCAGAAGGCGAGCGGGATAATTGCTTTGCCATAGAGAGGCACTGCAATGCCGACTTGAGACTACTGGCAAGTTCGGTGACACAGGGAACACCTCCTGGGTGAGCGGGGGCTGTGATCACCTCTCCCACATCCACACCTGGCAAAAGGAACTGCAAAAGCATCTTTGCTGCCGCTCCATTAGGTTTGTAGCTGGCTTGTTGGAAAACGGGAGCGCGTGGGGGCAGGGACCTCCCCAGCAGGCTGCAAGTCCTGCTTTCGAGCCTGGGGACACCGGTGAGGCAATCCTGGCCAGCTTCCGTGGGCCTGGGGTTTGCCTCAGGTGGTGGAGCTGAGGGTCCAGGGCTGGCAGGCCAGTCGCTCCTTGACGTAAATCAAGCAACATTTTCGTTTTTGGTTGTGTGCCAGCGCTGGCACTGTGCTCCTCACCTGCAGGGTGAAGGCATCTGTGGGACGGAGTCGCTGTCCCTTCTGCCATGTCATTTCCCTCAGCTGCTGGCAGTTGCGCCCGTGTCCTTTCTGAGCGTATCGGGGAAGGGGGAGCGGGGGACCCCGTCAGAGGGTTGTCGTGCCTGCAAACACAGGGGCCCATCAAGCCTGCCTTACAACCACTCTCAAGTCACCTTACAGCTACCAGCAGGCAAAGTTTGGAGGTTCTTGGCACTTGCCGGTGGAGATAAGCCCTAGCGGCATGTGGTGGGCTAAGCGTGGCCAGCTGCTGGGCAATGGGAGGGGAGGAGGTTTCATCGTGCTGTAGGTTTTGAGACAGTGATGCTCTTCCCGCATTGTGGAAGCAGCAATGTTTAAAGTGTTAAACGTGCCTTCCACTCTGAGAGCGGGTTTCTCCTTTCTGTTTGAAAAGATACAGTCTGGGGAACATAACCACGGTCCATGCTGCAGGCAAGATGTGTCGGGTGCGAGGAATATGAAGAACAGCTGCCTGGGGCAGAATGCACAGTACGTCTCGCCGTCCCAGCCGTAGCTCTGCTGAGGCTGCTGCTGTTGCAGCCACAGCAGATGTGGCCAAGCACGTGTGGTTCACACAGGTAATGTTGCTTCCACACTGCAGCGGACGCAAATTTCCCTCCAGCTTTCCCTCCTCCCAGCTGCATGCATCCACTGCCTGCTCTGAGGGTCGTCCTGCTGCAGCGTGAAGCCCGTTTGGCCTTCAATCCTGCCAAAATAGAGTTAGGAGAAGGTTAGAAGTAGCGTGAAAATAAGGGTGGGGAAAGGAATGAGGCTGGGGAGTAAGGTCTCCTCTTTCTTCTGCCAGCAAGTTGCAAGTGTGTTCAAACTGTCTAAGGAAATCACAGGTTGTGTACAGACATCAGAGCTAAACTTGAGGGAGGAAGAGCTGGAGGCACTAGCTGAGGTCTGGGGAAGCAGGCCGATGGGAACGGTGCTCAGAAGTTCCCGTTAGCTTATTAGGGAGCGCTTATAGCACCAGGAGCTGCCAGGCTGAAGGATGACTGTTCTCAGCTTGAATGACTTAAACTGAGACTAGGCAAAATCCTAGGTATGAGAGGTTAGGAAAAGCCCTGTGGTGGCTTTGAGATGTTTGATTGGGTGGTTATTTTCCACCATAGGGATTTCTCTGATGCTGGGTTGTGACCTGAGCCTTCTCTCCTGCCTTTCTCTTCTGGCTGTTACTTCACCAGCTCCCTCTAAAACACTGCTGTTACTGGGAGTGACTCCTACTTTTGGCCATATCCCAAAAGAACCAAGGGGCATGAGAGTTAATGAGAAAGGGCTTAGGGACAGCAAAACACGACATTTGAAAGGTTACTTCTGCATTTGATTCTTCATGAATTGGATTTCAGAGAATTGGGAAGTGCTGGTGTGTGACAGAAGAGGAACATATGAACAAGACCACTGAACGCTCTGTTTTATCCATTGGTCTCACAAGGCTTAAAAATATCTGCCTGCTTCCTTTCTGTACTTACGCACTTCGGTGATGCAATTCAATGGTGACATTGCCTTGATGCATGGAGAAGTACTCCTGGAAGGAGGAGTGGGGAGATGTTGCAAGGACATCGACTGCTGGCCTTCCCTCTTCTGGCTTCGCCCTCACCCCATGCACATACCCAAACTCGAAGGAGAACAAAGCCTTTGGAGGAGGCCACCAAAGACACTGCTGTGCTGTGATTAGCCCTCTGGTGTGTTCCCACAGTGGCCCTGGTCTGGCAGAAAAGATGGGCAAGCTCTTGACAGCAATCGCTAGGCCAAGGAAGCTGCTAACTGTGAAACCTCTTGGCATTTGAGATCTGGGAGGAGATGGTCTGTCACTGATCTGCCAGGTATGTGGCTGCACAAAGCTGGAAGGCATTATAAGAGGATCTGGTTTAGGGGAAAAAAACAAACACTTTCGATTGGTGATATGTGTCAGAGCACGTGTTGTCAAAAGTCAGTTGAAATTTAAGAAAATCACAACTCCAGGAGAGAGAGAGGCATGGGCATGAGGATGCTGGCCCTGCTGCAGGCCCAGTATTGCTGCGGTCCATACCCCCCAGTGACAGTGGCTCTGCACTCCCTCCAAGCAGTCACTTCTGCCTGGAGCAGAGGAGAAAATAACACTTGCGCTTTCGTTCTGTATGGAAGACCACTTCCCTGTGCTCCACCCCAAACCCTCCGCAGCAGGCGCACAGGACATCCCCGTGTTTGACACGGATGAGACAAGAGCATGAGCTCCAGGGTCAGGCTTCGTGTCAGAGCAGGCGGTTGCTGGGGGTGGGAAACGCGTTGGTCTCCGGTCTGTCAAAGCAGCTGTCACGCTGGAGTAGCTGGGGAGCTGTTAGAGGCAGAGGAGTGTGAGATCTTTTTGCGTGCTGTTCAGTCATCTGCTTGCACTGGGACTGGGATTTGGAAAGTGAAATGTTGCTTTATCCCACCCTTGGTCTCCAGAGCCTTCTCATTCTTTTCCACTGAATATCCCTGACGTGCCAGACGCTTTGATGTAACCTAGCCATGTGTGGCTAAAGTTGTCTGGGCTGCAATAGCGAAAACTGTGAGGCCACACTTGGACTGACAGAAATGGGTCCAGCCATAACCGAGGCTGGTATGAGAAACCCGTAGGCGTGCTGTGCCGTGCCAGGAGGAAGCAAACCAGAAGAGCTGATCGCGCTCCTTGCTGAAAAGCGGGCAGTTGTATGTGTGGGTGGTGGTAGGGGGAAACGAGAGGCAACATAATGCCCGAGTTCAGGAACTGGCATGTGAAAACACAGTCCAGTGGTAGGAATTTCTGCCAGCGGAGAGGAGCGCAGCAAAGGTCGTTGCTATCATTAAGAAACCAAGGGTGGAGAGATATGTGAGCTGGGATCTCCAAGCAGCCAACTAGCCTGACCTCAGTAAATGGGAAATGAGATAGTGCAAAATGAGTTTACCAAGGCTATCTCATGCCGGGCTATCATAGTAGGTTTATTTTGATAAGATAATTGAGTACGTAGGCAGAGGACTTCAGAAAGGCAGTCCTTACA